CTAGTAATGTGACTAAAGCTTCCCAGTGCTGGAGAGTTTACAGAGCACAGTGCCATTGGCCCCTTATCACAGCCCTGGGAGGCAGGCATCCCATTTTCCAGAGGAGGATGGAGATAAAGTGACTTGCTCAGGATCACACTGCTGGCAAGCTTCAGAGCAAGGACTTGAGTCCAGGTCTGTTGCTTCCAAATAAATTAATACAATTAAATTTACTGAGGCTTACTATGCCCAGCACCGTGAATACCAATCCTACAGCTCTAGAATGAAAAAGTGTAGAAGGACCATGGCTTCCTGGCTCCCCTTTCAGTCATTTTCTCAAAGCTGCCTCTCCCATTTTCAACTACTTTGTGTTTTAGTTTTGCAAAGGCATTAGCAGAGCTTCCTACAAAATACTTCCTCTACTGCAAATAAAAGGATTTAGAAGGCACCAGGAACTGTGTGCAAATGAGAACCTGAGAAAATATCTCAAGAGGTCTTCTGAGGGAGGGCAGGCTGGGCCAACTTCCAAGGTCCCATCAGTGAGCACTGGAGACAGTCTGGGTACAAGCCTAGGAGCAGACCCTGGAGAGGGAGCCTCTGCTGTCGGGGCTGTCTGCTTATGAGTCAGCTCTGCCAGAGACCTGCTGTTTCACTGTTCCCTCTAAATAAGAGGGGAGGACAGGAGGCAAGGGAGGGAGAGACAGGACAGAGAGGGCTGAAGGGTACAGCAGGAAACCACATGGTAACCACGTGCAGAAGCCTGCTGCAACGTCACTGGCATAAGCCAATTTAGGAGCTGGTAATCCTAGGTTGGGGGCAGGCCTACCCTATGAGTAAATTACTGGAAAGTTCCAGAAGACAGAGTTTGGACCAGCCCCTCTTTGAGGGGAAGGAGAAGCATGGGCCCAGAGAAGAGAAGAAATGAACTCATTGTCCCACAGCAAGTCAAGGCCTACCCCAGACAGGTCCCTTCCCTGTCGGAGCCTCAGTTTCCCCTCTGTGAAATGACACGATAATGAAGAGCCCTTCTATCTTGGGTGGCGTATTCAATTATTCAGTGCCTTTTCATCCTGGTTGATAAGGCACCTCTGAGACTCTTTGAGTTTGGAAAACGGTTGGGCAGCTCTACATGTGCCCCCTGCATTCTGGTGGTTTATTTAATTCCCCAAATAATAGAGGATTCCTCTATCGGGTCAACAGGATTGACATCTGTTTTAAAAATATGTAAACATGACTGTGTGAAGGCCCAGCTGTGACACTCAGTAAAAGCTGGACACAAATGTGGGGAAGGTGAAGGGAACCCACTCAGGTGAGTTGTCCATGTGAGCATGCAGATGCTGGCACACGGGTGGGGGAGGTGAGGTCCAGTCCCAGCTCTGCCACTAGCCGGCTGTGTGTCCCCGGGGAACACCTCCCTTCCCTAGGCCTCAGTTTCCTCATTTATCCCATGAAGTGGTGGGATGAAATCATCCCCAAGGCCTTGCACTGTCTGACATGATACATGTCATGGAGAATGGGGGGCAGCTATCAGGAGTAGAGGGCAGATGAAAAGCCATCCAGAGGTTTCAACACACCAGGAAAATTTGGATTTGTCCCATAAAAGTGTTATAATTTTGACAAAGTGCTAATCATAATTGCTACTCACTAGCTGAGTAAAAAATGTATGCCCATATTTATGTGTTATCCCAAGAAGATAGGCGAGATTATATTCCTGTTTTACAGATGAGGATAATCAAGGCTCAGAGAGGTAAAGTCACTTGCTTCATGTTCTACAGCAAGTAGGTGACTTGAGCTCAGGTGGGTTCGACAGATCACAAGCCCAAGCCTAGAGCGACCATTTGCTGTACTGCCTTTCTTATAAATCCANGATTGACATCTGTTTTAAAAATATGTAAACATGACTGTGTGAAGGCCCAGCTGTGACACTCGGTAAAAGCTGGACACAAATGTGGGGAAGGTGAAGGGAACCCACTCAGGTGAGTTGTCCATGTGAGCACGCAGATGCTGGCACACGGGTGGGGGAGGTGAGGTCCAGTCCCAGCTCTGCCACTAGCCGGCTGTGTGTCCCTGGGGAACACCTCCCTTCCCTAGGCCTCAGTTTCTTCATTTATCCCATGAAGTGGTGGGATGAAATCATCTCCAAGGCCTTGCCCTGTCTGACATGATACATGTCATGGAGAATGGGGGGCAGCTATCAGGGGTAGAGGGCAGATGAAAAGCCATCCAGAGGTTTCAACACACCAGGAAAATTTGGATTTGTCCCATAAAAGTGTCATAATTTTGACAAAGTGCTAATCATAATTGCTACTCACTAGCTGAGTAAAAAATGTATGTCCATATTTATGTGTTATCCCAAGAAGATAGGCGAGATTATATTCCTGTTTTACAGATGAGGATAATCAAGGCTCAGAGAGGTAAAGTCACTTGCTTGATGTTCTACAGCAAGTAGGTGACTTGAGCTCAGGTGGGTTTGACAGATCACAAGCCCAAGCCTAGAGCGACCATTTGCTGTACTGCCTTTCTTATAAATCCAGATATACCTAAGTAGTCACTGGAGTAGGTGTCTAAACCTAACATGGGGGGAAAAAGGTAATAAAATTGGCATGCACTGGTAGCTGTGATCAGGTAATCCATATTTTACAAAATACTTTCCTAGAATGATATAATTTGAGAACTGGAAATGTGACAGGAGAATTTAGTTGCAATTGCTCAAAAAAATAAAAAAATAAAAAAAGTAAGTATCTTTGCCAAGATGCCTACTTGGTTCAACCAATGAAGAAGTAAGACTTAACAAATGGGAAAATAATTACATTTGCCTAAAATTACATCTTTTGTGGACGCCAGAGAGCTGACATGCGTTTCAATTACCTGTCATGGGAAAATGAATGGGTAAACCTACAAGACTGCGTTACAGAGTGGGAGTGCTGAAGAACACCTCTCCTGATCGATCTGAATCCTGGTGGGATCTGTCTGAATGAATCTCAATAACTTGCTTTAATTTCTTGCTTTCCCCTGGATGACTCTGGGATCTTCTCAAAGGGAGTGGACATAGCAGGCACTGCTCTTGTTTCTGGATTTTCCAGAAACATCCCGTTGCTGAAAAAACACTGTATTTTTTTTTTTTTTTTTTTCTTTTTGTCTTTTTCCGTGTCCGGCAACGGATCGCAACCCTCAGTGTTGCCCCCGTACCGGACCAGGACCGGCAACGGGATCGCAACCCTCGGCGTTGCCCCCATACCGGACCAGGACCGGCAACGGGATCGCAACCCTCGGCGTTGCCCCCCGCGCCTCG